AGCATCTGTTCTCTGGTGGTCAGTGCGCATCAAACCTACTGCCTGGTTGGATGATTGCTTAACCTTTTATATATATAGTTAATGAACTATCAGAAAAAAGAATTTAGAAAACAATCCCCTCTACAATTGCATCAAAGAAAAAATATCTATAAATAAATTTAACCAAGAAGGTAAAATACCTATACTTGGAAAATTATGAGACAGTAAAAGAAAAAACTGAAAACACAAATAAATGGAAGAATACACCATGCTCATGGACAGGAAGGTCATTAAAATGCCCATACTACCCAAAGCAATCTATAGATTCAATGCAATACCTACAAAAATACCAATGGCATTTTTCACAGAACTAGAACAAATAATCCTAAAGTGGATCCACAAAAGACACCAAATAGTCACAGCAATCTTGAGAAAGAAAAATAAATTTGGAGGTATCACACCACCTGATATCAAACTGTACTACAAGGCTAGAGTAATCAAAACAGCGTGGTACTGGCATTAAAACAGACACACAGTTCAATGGAACAGAACAGAGAGCCCAGAAATAATCCCACACCTATATGGTCAATTAATTTCTTACAAAGAAGGCAAGAATATACAATGGAGTAAAGACAGTCTCTTAAATAAATGGTGTTAGGAAAACTGACAAATGCATAAAGTAAAATGAAACTAGACCACTTTCTTATACCATATACAGAATACACTCAAAATGAATTAAAGCCTTAAATGGAAGACGTGAAACCATAAAACTCCTAGAAGAAAACATATGTAGTAAACTCTCTGACACTGTTCTTAATAACACTTTTTTTGAATATGTCTCCTCAGGCAAGGGAAACAAACAAAAAAATAAATGGTACTTTATCAAACTGAAAAGTGTTTGTACAGCAAAGGAAAGCACCAACAAAACAAAAAGACAACTGACTAAATGGGAAAAGATAATCACCAATGACACTCCTGATAAAAGGTTATTATGCAAAATATACAAAAAAATCACACAATATAACACCAGAAAGACATACAATCCAATTAAAAATAGGCAGAGGCCTGACTAGACCCTTCCCCAAAGAGGACAAACAGATGGTCAATCTATATATATATATATCTCCTATCTAATAAAAGAGAAACATGGTAATTGGCGTACGACCGCTACCCTTCCCATTGACTAATCAGCAAGATATGCAAATTAACTGTCACCCAAGATGGCGGCCGGCAGCCAGGCAGTTTGAAACTAACGTGAAGGCTTGCTTGCTTCAGTGACGGAGGACTCCAATGTTCCCCGCCTGCCTTGCCGGCCTCTGAGCCTGCAGTTTCAAACACTGTAACAAATATAGATGCTAAAAAAAACCCCAGAAACCAGCTTTCAGCTGGCTGGAATCTCAGAGCTGGAGTTGATACAGAGTTTCGATTATAGAACCGAAACAAACCAGATACCTGCTTTCAGGAGCGGAGGCCTAAGAGCTGGAGCCAAGCCTCAGAGCTAAAGCTGGCCCAGAATAAAATAAAAAAAGGAGCAGTTGGGAGCTTCAGCCCCAGCCTGAAAACAGCCCTCAGCCCCTCACCCAGACTGGCCAGGCACCCCAGTGGGGACCCCAACCCTGAAGGGTGTGTGACCAGCTGCAAACAGCCATCATCCCCTCATCCAGGCTGGCCAGGCACCCCAGTGGGACCCCCACCCTGATCCAGGACACCCTTCAGGGCAAACCAGCCAGCCCCCACACGTGCACCAGGCCTCTATTCTATATAGTAAAAGGGTAATATGCCTTCCAGCACTGGGATCAGCGGAGCTGAGAGGCCTCCCGGCACCGGGATCAGTGTGACAGGGGGCAGTGCCCAAACCCCCTGATCGCCCTGCGGCTCTGTGTGTGACAGGGGGAGGGGCCACAACGTCCCTATCGGCCCTGCTCTGTTCATGACAGGTGAAGGCGCCCCAACCACCTGATCGGCCCTGCTCTGTGCCTGATAGGGGGGAGCTCCCCAAACCCCTGATCACCCTGCGGCTCTGTGTGTGACAGGGTGGGGTGCTCCAACCCCCTCACCCCACGGGCCCTGCTGTGTGTGTGATGGGGTAGAGCCATAACCTCCCCATCGGCCTTGCCCTGAGTGTGAGAGTGGCGGCGCCCCAACCCCCTGATGGGCCCTGCTCTGTGGGTGATAGAGGGCGGCACCCCAACCCCCCCACCCCAAGGGCCCTGCTCTGTGTGTGATGGGGTAGAGCCATAACCTCCCCATCGGGCCTGCCCTGAGTGTGACAGTGGCGGTGCCCCAACCCCCTGATTGGCCCTGCTCTGTGGGTGATGGAGGGCGGCGTCCCAACCCCCTGATCCGCCCTGCTCTGTGAGTGACAGGGGGGAGTTCCTCAACCCCCTGATGGGCCCTGCTCTGTGCGTGACAGGGGGGAGCTCCCCAACCCCCTGATTGACCCTGCTCTGTGCGTGACAGGGGGCAGCGCCCCAACCCCCTGATTGGCCCTGCTCTGTGTGTGACAGGGGGTGGCGCCACAACCTCCCCATCGACTCTGCATTGAGTGTGACAGGGGGCGGTGCCCCAACCCCCCAATCGGCCCTACCCTGAGCGTGACAGAGGGTGGCATCGCAACCTCCTAATCCACCCTGCCCTGTGCGTGACAGGGGGCGGCGCCCCAACTCCCCAATCGGACCTGCTCTGAGCCCAACCAGGGGCTGCACCTATGGATTAGGCCTGCCCTCTGCCACCCGGGAGCAGGCCTAAGCCAGCAGGTCGTTATCTCCCAAGGGGTCCCAGACTGCGAGAGGACACAGGCCGGGCTGAGGGACCCCCCTCCTCGCCCTCCCCCCCCGAGTGCACAAATTTTTGTGCACCGGGCCTCTAGTATATATATAAAAGCCTAAGTGACCATTATGACTGAACGACCAAACAACCAGAACAACCGGAACAACAGCTCAGCTGACAGGCCTTTTCTGGCAGCCCACCAGCCTGGTGGCAGCCACTCACTCCCTCAGTGGTCCTGAGGTCCAATCTCCAGAGAATGGGCCAGGCACTGATGGACCACTGCCACGGGCACAATCCAGACAGCGCCACTGGCCTCCTGGAATTTGGCCTCGGGCACCACAGCTGCTTCCCCTCCTTAGACACTCTGCAAGGAAGGATATAAAAGCGGCTGCCTGGTGGCTCCTGACAACAAGAGGGAACATCAGTGGGATGGATCAGGATCCTGGGCCTGCAAAGGCATCCCACCACCTGCCCAGAGGGTCGAATACAACCTGGCCCCTCCCCCACCCCCCTGGGGACCCCAGCCATGCACAAATTCATGTGCTGGGCCTCTAACAGACATATAAAAAGATGTTCAATGTCATTAATCGTCAGAGAGATTAAAATTAAAACCACAATGAAGTATCACCTCACATCTGTCAGAATGCTTATCATCATTAAATCAACCTACAAGTACTGGGGAGGATTTAGAGGAGGGGGACCCTAGTGCACCACTAGCAGGAATGCAAATTGGTGAAACTACTGTGAAAAGCAGTATGGAGTTTCCTCAAAAATTTAAAACTAGAACAGCCTTGTGACCCAGTAATTCTACTTCTGGGTATTTACCCAAAGAAATTCAAAACACTCATTCAAAAAGATAGATGTGCCACCCAGTCAGCATGCCTCAGCGGTTGAGCATGGACCTATGAACCAGGAGGTCACGGTTCCATTCCCCATCAGGGCAAATGCCCAGGTTGCTGGCTTGATCCCCAGTAGGGAGTGTGCAGGAGGCAGCCAGCCAATGATTCTCTCTCATCGTTGTTTCTATCTCTCTCTCCTTCTCCCTTCCTTTCTGAAATCAATAAAAATATATTTTTAAAAAATTATATGTGTACTCCTATTTTCAATACAGCATTATTTACAATAGCCAAGATATGAAAGCAATATATGTGTCCATCAATAGTCAATCTGTATAAAGAAGAGGTGGTCACATATATACAATGAAATTTTACCCAGCCATAAAAAAAAAAAAAAAAAAAAAAAAAAAAGAAAGAAAACTAGCCATTTGCAACATGGATGGACTTAGAAGGTATTGTGCTGAGTGAAATAAGTCAGAGAAAGACAAATGCCATATGATTTCACTTACATATGGAATCTAAAAAACAAAATAAATAAACAAACAAAAAAGAAACAAACTCCTAGATACAGAGAACAAACTCATGGTTGCCAGATGGGAGGGAGGATTGAGGGGATGGGTGAAAAGAAGGAAGAGATTAAGAAGTACTAATTTTTAGTTACACAACTAAAACTTGTATAACTAGTCATGGGGGTATAAAGTACAGCATGGGGAATATAGTCAATAATCTATAATAATAAAAGCATAATATGCTAATTAGACTGGACAACTGAACGATCTTCCAGACATCCTTCCGGACAACCTTCTGGACGAAGCTAGGGCTATGAGGGCCGAGGCAAGCTGCCTCGGCTGCAAGGACTGAGCCCCTTGCATGAATTTCGTGCATCGGTCTTCTAGTACTGTAATAACTGTGGATGGTGCCAGGTGGGTACTAGATTTATCTGGGTGATCACTTTGTAAGCTATATAAACGTCTAATTGCTATGTTGTATACCTGAAACTAATATAATATTGTATATCAACTATATCATTGTTTTTTTAATTAAATAATTTATTTGTAGTACATATGTATATGTGCATATATATGTGTATATATAAATTATGATTCTACAAATTTTGAAAGTGGATATCCTCTTTCTTTCCTTTTCCCTTTCTCATTATCTCTCAAAGTGACATACCATATAATTAAAGGCTGTTTCTTTGCAAAGTGCATGCTTATGTAGTTGTAATCATCCAATTGATTTATAAAGGAAATGATTTTTTGTAGGTACTCACATTAAACAATGCGGCACTTTGTCCAGTGTTCAAGGCCAAGATTAATTAAACAGCAACAACAATAACAAAAACAATAAACCCTTAACTTTGGAAGAAAAAACATTGGACTGAAAAGAGAAGAATTATGAAATTTTATTCTTTACCTGATTTAATAACATTTCCTTCTGCATTTTGTTTTATGATTTATGTCCTGATTCAGGGAGGAAGACAAAACAAATGTCCTTTTGTTTAGTTTTAGAAAGGTCATATGAATAACAAAAACTGATGACTATATCTTTTCCCATTTCTCTGTACATTCATTTAACAGGTTGCTACTAAAATGTCACTGTTGATGACACAGAGTTTACTATTTATAAATGTCCTCACTCTTTTTACCCCAATTTTATTCAAGGATCTAATTAATTGGCACAATCCAGTTAAGATTGTTCTTAAAATATGTGCACGCTACGACGGAAATGTCACTTATCTGTTCCCTGGTGCATTTCAGACCTGCTCTGCAACTGGAGTCCTTACCACCCTGGAGACATTATAAGCCACTGAAAGATACAAAATAAGAAGTGAGATTTGCATAACTTCGAATCACTGAAAGACGGATGAAGCATATATACATGAGTGTAAATGGAGACATTTATAAGCATCTACTCAGAAAGCTGTGTAATATAAAACTTAAAAAGCTAACTAATATTCAGAGCCTGAGGACAGATAAAGAATGGAGTGTTTCAGGAATGAGTATAACTCAGAGTTCGTAAGTCACAAACAATGTTTATTTCACTGAGGTGTGGTGTTTGGGAGTAGGTTCAGCTGGTAAAACTCAATTTTGTGGGCTAGGTTATCTCTCTATTTGTTACCATCTATATATTGTACATTAGGATTCTACCACTTAGAGACGGTATCAAAAAGCATTGGGGTGGGGCATGGGGGGGCATATTTAAAAGTATGTGGTTCCATCACCTCTGCCTCACTGTCCAGTGTCACTGCCTTTAAGGTATTACAGTCCAGGTGCATCTCTAGATAGCTCAGCCTGAACACAAAAATGGGGGTGAGAGGAGGCGTAAAAGAAATTGTCAGATGACAGTTCAAACTTCTATAGGGCTTATGATTTAAGTTGTTTTTATTTTGTCATTTGGCTTTCTTTCACAAACAATAATGGTAGCTGTTATTCAAACTTACACGTTTTAAAATCTTGACTTAATAGGACTGATAGAAAACATTATCAAGATTACATTCTACTTGTAAAGGCAGCACGAGATGAATGGGGAGTGGGTGGAATGGAGAGTTTCTAGGTGAAAAATGCCATTCCGAACAGGGAATGTACATAACTTCCATCTCGGTCATAGGAGCCCCAAGCTCCAAATTTCCAATTTTGCCAGGGTCTTGGGCTGAAAGACACCTTGCCAAGGCATCTCTAATTCAGTCTAATGTGACCACATCCACCTTTTGGTCTAATGTTATAATATTTAAATATCAAACTACTGCTTTACTTCACAGCTATTGTCTAACCTAATACTTATGACTTATCTAGGATATTTAAGTATATATTTTTTAGATTTAGATCATACATTTAGAAAAGGTTGAAAGTATTTTTTCTACCAAAACACTAGACTTAAAATTCAGATAAGCTATCATCTTTTTTTTTTCTTCTTCTTTTTAAATTAAATCTTTATTGTTCAGATTATTACATTTGTTCCTCTTTTTTCCCCCCCATAACTCCCCTCCTCCCAGTTCCCGCCCCACCCTCCGCCCTCACTCCCCACCCACTGTCCTCATCCATAGGTGCACGATTTTTGTCCAGTCTCTTCCCGCATCTCCCACACCCCTTTCCCCCCCCAAGAATAGTCAGTCCATTCCCTTTCTATGTCCCTGATTCTATTATAATCACCAGTTCATTCTGTTCATCAGATTATTTATTCACTTGATTCTTAGATTCACTTGTTGATAGATGCATATTTGTTGTTCATAATTTGTATCTTTACCTTTTTCTTCCTCTTCCTCTTCTTAAAGGATACCTTTCAGCATTTCATATAATACTGGTTTGGTGGTGATGAACTCCTTTAGCTTTTCCTTATCTGTGAAGCTCTTTATCTGACCTTCAATTCTGAATGATAGCTTTGCTGGATAAAGTAATCTTGGTTGTAGGTTCTTGGTATTCATCACTTTGAATATTTCTTGCCACTCCCTTCTGGCCTGCAAAGTTTCTGTTGAGAAATCAGCTGACAGTCGTATGGGTATTCCCTTGTAGGTAACTGAGTTTCTTTCTCTTGCTGTTTTTAAGATTCTCTCTTTATCTTTTGCTCTTGGCATTTTAATTATGATGTGTCTTGGTGTGGTCCTCTTTGGATTCCTTTTGTTTGGGGTTCTCCGCGCTTCTTGGACCTGTAAGTCCATTTCTTGCATCAGGTGGGGGAAGTTTTCTGTCATTATTTCTTCAAATAGGTTTTCAATATCTTGCTCTCTCTCATCTTCTGGCACCCCTATAATTCTGATGTTGGTACGCTTGAAGCTGTCCCAGAGGCTCCTTACACTATCCTCGCATTTTTGGATTCTTTTTTCATTTTGCTTTTCCGGTTGGGTGTTTTTTGCTTCCTCGCATTTCAAATCATTGACTTGATTCTTGCGCTCCTCTGGTCTGCTGTCGGGAGTCTGTATAATATTCGTTATTTCAGTCCGTGTATGCTTAATTTCTAGTTGGTTCCCCAATATAAGATCGAGGGTCTCATTAGTTTTCTTGTAGATCTCATTAAGTTTATCGGCGGCTTCTAAACAGTTCTTGAGAGACCTTAAAAGTGTGGTTCTGAACTCTATATCTTCCATTGACAATTTTGTCCTGTTTCTTTGTCTCCGCATTTTGTTATGCTTCCTTGGTGCACCCCCTAGTGGTCTTTGTTCGCAGTCTTATAGTTAAATCTTGATTGTTGTAGCTAATTCCAGGGAGGGTTTGAACTCCAGGCCAAGTGGCTATGAGAATCAGCTGTGTCAGCAGTGAGAGAACTTCTGTCCTCTAGGGAGGTGCTAATCTGGCCTTTGCCTGAGGCTATCCGGCAAATGCCTCTGTGCAGGGCTTGGGCGGGGCGGGTCGCACAGGATCAACAGGGTGGGCCGGAGAGAGCAGTTATGGCGGCTCTCAGTCCTGTCCCCAGGGGCTCTGCCTCTCTGAGTCCCAGCACCCGCTGCAAAGCTCAGAGAGAAAGCTGCACTCGCTTGACCGAAGCCAGACAGTCCCGCTTCTCCCGTTTGAGTCTGGGTCCCTAAAGACTCGCCTGTATCTGGAGCTCAGAGTCTGCCACTCCCTCCCGATTGAAAACGCCAACCACGCCCTCCGCCGCCAGCCCACTCCGCGCACTCCGCACCTCAGAATTTGACTTCAGCACTGCGCCTCCTCTGAGTGTCCGTATGCGTTTCTCTTTCCTCCTAGTTGTAGGACTTCCACTCAGCCAGCGTTCCTGTGGTTCTGGGTGATGTCTGTTCCATTTTTTAGTTTCACTTTTGAAGTAGTTGTTCAAGGCAGCAAACTCCGGCGTTAACCTATGCCGCCATCTTGGTTCTCTCATCAGATAAGCTATCATCTTTTAATAGATATAGTTAGCCCACCAGTATGGCTCAGTGGCTGAGAGTTGACCAATGAACCAGGAGGTCACGGTTTGATTCCCAGTCAGGGCACATGCTCCAGTTGTGGGCTCAATCTCAACTTGGGGGCATGCAGGAGACAGCCGATCAATGACTCTCTTTCATCAATGATGTTTCTACCTCTCTCTCCCTCTCCCCTCCTCTCTGAAATCAATAAAAATATTTTTAAATAGATGTAGTTAACCCAACCTTACATTATAGCACATGTTTTTTAAATTATGTTATTTCTATCAAAATAATATGTCATATTTCTATAATTCCTTATGACTGCTAAGTACTCTAAAATATTTTCCCCTTTATATCTCACAGTACCCTGGTGAGGTAGCTGACATTATCTCCATTTTTCTGTATTAGAAAACTGAATTTGAAAAGAACTCCTTTGTTCAAGGTCACAGAGGTAGTTAGATAACTAAGCAGAACATGAGACCAATTTGTCTAACCCAAACTATAGTGTTATTTCCACAATACTTCTTCAATCACAATAAAAGTGTTTCAATCAAAACAAGATTGCCACAAAGGTGTTTTTTTAAAGCTTTTCAATTAACTAATAAATGTATATGAAACATACTGTTTGGTGCAAAAATAATTTTTAAATAAGTACCATCAATTACTTTTGCAATAATCCACTATTAAGAATGATTACCTAAAATAACCTCTCCTTCAAACAAAATGATCTTTTGTATGGATGTACAGTAGCCCTCCCTTATCTGCCATTTCACAGACATTCCTTTTGTTTCAAGATAGAAAAGAAAATTGTATATTGGAGTAAATATTACAGAAATATTTGTAAAACTCATCCATGACTCTACCAATGAATTCTGGCAAGAACCCAAGGTCACTGCCTTCTCTGTCTTCTCTTTCATTCAGCAGGTCTGTAAACTGGCATTGACTCACAGATTTCCATGTGCTGATGGAACAATTTTAACTTGGAATCTATGACACTTTTCAGAGTTTGTTTCAGAATGTAGTAGAAGGAAGCAATAAGAGAAAAAACAGTTTGTTGTTTTCAAATTCTAGTAAGTGGATAGTTAAACTAACATAGCTGCAGTGTTACCTGTTGTGACAGAAATTGATTTATTCCTATCCATCTAAAATTCTTCTTTGACACATGTAAGACATTCAAAGATATCTATGCTACAAATTTGGTAGTTTAGGCCACAAATTAACAACATTTCTTTGTAAATGTTTTAATCTTTTGAGACAAGGGTATCTCATGTGTTTACCTGGCAGCAACTCATATGTCACGCAACTAGTGTACAGCTAAAGGAAAGTACTTGAAATTCCTCAAAATTCAGATAAATTAATCTTTGATACTGTTAGAAAGACCTTGTATTCTACAGGCAATTGTTTGGTGATTTAATTATATGCTTTGAGATTTTGTAAAACATATCTTTGTGTTTTCTCATAATTTTCTAATAAAACATCAGTAACTAAAATGATTTATTTTGCCATCTCACCACCTAAAAAAGGTTACACCCTGATGGAGTAGCTCAGTTAGTTAGAGAATCATCCTGATATCCTGATACTCCAAGGTTTCAGGTTTGATCCCTAGTCAGGGCACATACAAGAAGCAACCAATGAATGAATAAGCAAGTGGAACAACAAATCGATGTTTCTCTCCCTCTTTCTCTCTCTTCAAATCAATTAAAAGATAAAAATGGTTACCTCTTTTGTGAATTAATTCAAGCCATTTTACAGATAGATGAAGTTACAAGTTCACATCCTGTTAAAAGTTTTAAATTTGTTAGATATTTAATTCAGATTTCTGACACCAAAATGGTTAAATTCCTTTTTACCATTGAGAGAAAATGTCTAACCAAATCCACTATGGATTTGTCAAAAATACCCTTTAGTACTACCT